GGGGGGCGGGGCTGGCAAGATGGCTCAGTGGGTAAGGGTGCTCGGAGCCAAGCCTGACCAGAGTCCCACCCCTGGGCTGACCCACTAGGCAGGAAGAAAGCAGTAACTCTCAGCAGTTTTCCTTGACCTCCACGGGAATGCTGGGGTACTTGTGTGCATGTACACTCACAATAAATAAGTAAATGCTTAAAGAAAGATAAAGTTAACTGGGGGACAGGGGGAGGACGGGGCAAGAACCGATCAGAGCTAAGTGCAGTGACATTCATAATGACAATACAAAACCAGGCTCATTATTTTATATGCTAACTTTAAAATTTAATAAAAAAAAAATAGGGGCTGGAGAGATGCCTCAGAGGTTAAGAGCACTGACTGCTCTTCCAGAGGTCCCGGGTTCAGTCCCCAGTACCCATGTTAGGTGGCTCACAGCTGCCTGAAACTCCTGCTCCAGGGCATCTAGTGCTGTTTCCTAGGTATGGATGCAGGTACATTAGTGATAGCACCTAAAAATAAATCCTTTAAAAAATAATGCCGGGCGTTGATGGTGCACGCCTTTAATCCCAGCACTCGGGAGGCAGAGGCAGGTGGATCTCTATGAGTTCGAGGCCAGCCTGGTCTCCAGAGAGAGTGCCAGGATAGGCTCCAAAGCAATACAGAGAAACCCTGTCTCAAAAAACCAAAAATAAATAAATAAATAAATATAAAAAAATAAAATAAAAAGAGCCAGGCATTGGTGGTGCACTCCTTTTAATCCCAGCACTCAGAAAGCAAAGGCAGGTGGGTCTCTGTGAGTTAGTGGCAGAGGCAGGGAGATCTCTGTGACTTTGAGGCCAGCCTGGTCTACATAATGAGTTTTAGGACACCTGGGACTATAATAGTAAGACGTTGTCTCAAAATAATAATAATAATTATAAATTATTATTATTATTATTATTATTATTACTTGAAAAAAATTCAAAAAAATAGTAATAACAAGGATGATAATAATAATACAAAGAAATAAAGTTGGCCTGATGTTTTTTGTTGTGTTTTGAGACAGGCTTTCACGTGTAGCCTGGCTAGCCTGAACTGGATACATAGATCAAGGTTGGCCCTGAACTCACAGCGATCCTTCTGCCTCTGCCTCCTACGAATGCCAATATTTAAAGGCATGCGCCACTCCACCCAATTGAGTTATGAAATAAAATCTCATATAGCCCCGGCTTCTCCTGCCTTGGCCTCTACACTGTGGGGATCACAGGCCTGTGCCCTCACACAAGCCAGTGTTTCTTGAACTATTTTTGAGGAGTAGAACTTTTTTTTTTTTCTCAATCCACTGCAGACCAACACTTTCAAACAAAATTATCATTAAAAGAACTATCCATCAAGGGGGTGGGGAGGACAATTCTATGAACACCAAGTTGCTCCACAAATTCCAGTAAGATTATTTTAACTTCTGTTTTGACGGGGGATTGGATGGCACAAGGCCCTCAGTGCTGGGGTTGAAACGCCTTGAGAGATAAGGAACCTTCTAGACTGCTCAGGCAAAAATAACCCAATGGGAGTCAAGCGATGGAGAAGGAAGGGTATGGCGGTCCCGTGTGTTGCAATTTCAGATGTACTGAGCCATGTGCTGGGCTCTGGGTCACAGCCTGTGAGACCTTAGGGCCTAGGATTTGGAAGGGTTCATGGCTTCCTCAGGACGCCATAACGAGGCACAGCCTTTTCACCCATAGGAAGGAGCTTTTGAAAGGGATTGGACCAAAGACTTACGGATTTGGAGAAGGCCACGCAGCACACAGCTCTGTCAAACACCCCCAGCCCCAGGACATGTAAGGTAGACAGGGAAACTGAGTCCCAGACACGGACATGGGGTGGCAGAGGCTGTGGAAAAGAGAAAAGCAGTTACTTTGGGGGGGAGGGGAGTCCCAGTTTCCAGTCCCAGTCCTCTGTGTAGTGCCCACTCCCACAGATGCCTTTGCTTCCTTTGTGGTGCCTGCCACCTGTCCCGTGGCGATGGTGACCATATCCGGGTGGACAGCCAGACTGCGGGTCAAGGAACAGAGGAAGAGAATTCAGCTTGGGGAGGGACGGTGACCCTTCGTCAGAAGGTTAGTGAGCACAGCTGCTCACTCAATAAACATGAATTGTAAAATATCCATGACACCAGGCATGGTGGCAGAGGTCTTTGATCCCAGCACTAGGGAGGCAAAAAGCAGGTGGATCTCTGTGAGTTCAAGGACAGCCAGGGTTACACAGAGAAACCCTGTCTGAAAAACAAAACAAAACAAAAAGCCAGGTGGTGGTGGCACACACCTTTAATCCCAGCACCCAGAAAGCAAAGGCAGGTGGATCTCTGTGAGTTTGAAGCCAGCCTGGTCTACAGAGTGAGTTCCAGGACAGCTAGGGCTGTTACATGAAGAAACTCTGTCTCGAAAAACATAAAAACAAAAAAGGAAAAAGGGAAAAAATTTCTTTCTTTCATTTGTTTATTGAAACAATGTCTGATGAAGCCCAGGCTTTCATAGGCTGCCTGGCTGAGAATTATGTTGAACTTCTGACTTTCCTGACCCCACCTCCCGACTCCACCCGGCTCAGGCATGCCCTAAAAACAGTGGCTGTGGAAACTTTAAATCCCAACATGGAAATACCCGGAAATGCCAGGTCACTTTCTTGAAAAGAAGCAAAAACTAGGGACACTGGGTGAGGGCATCACCATAGTGATACTGATGATTGTCAGATGCAGTGGTATAAATCTATAATCCCAGGACTCAGTAGGCTGAGGCAGGAGAGTCATGAGTTCAAGGCCAGTCTGGGCTACACATGAAGTTCCAGGCCAGCCTGGGCTACGTAGAGCCCCTGCCACAATAGGAAAATAATAAAAGCTAGGGTGCTGGAGAGACGGCTCAGTGGAAGAGCACTTGCTGCTTTTCCAGAGCACCTAGATTTGGTTCCCAGCACCCTACTGGGTGGCTCATAACCTGCTGTAACTACAGATAAATCTGGAGACATTGCACACAGGTGGTGCACATGCACACATATTTAAGAAACAAAAAACGATAAGCTGGGCGTTGGTGGCACATGCCTTTAATCCCAGCAATAGAGAGGCAGAGGCAGGCGGATCTCTGTGAGTTCAAGACCAGCCTGGTCTACAAGAGCTAGTTCCAGGACAGCCTCCAAAGCCACAGAGAAACTCTGTCTTGAAAAAAAGAAACCAAAAAACGATAAACACTATAGGGGCTGGAGAGAAGGCTCAGTGGCTAAGAGCACTGGTTACTCTTCCTGAGGATGAAGGTTCAATTCCTTCATGGAGCACCCACATGGCAGCTCACGACTGTCTGGAACTCCAGTTCCAGAGGATCTGACACCCTCACACAGACATGCATGCAGGCAAAACACCAATGCACGTTATGTACATTTTAAAAGTAGATAAACACTATACATGCTTATTTTCTCACAGCTTCCACCTGGGGTAGCCAGCACTCTCATTGTACAGAGGTTTGGCACTGGTCCACACTCCATCTCGGCAGTCATGTGGAAAGAGGCCCAGAAGGTACCCATTGGATCAGTGCCCAAGCCTGGGTTCTCTCGTCCCCAAAACTGCTCTGACTCACCATTTGATGTCATCGTTGTGCCCCAGGTAATGCCGTTGTCTCTGCTCTTCCACACTGTACAGTACGGCCACGGAGGCCACAAAGTACACCACCTCCCCGGTGGGTAGGAGGTAAAGGTTGGCTCGGCAGTCCCTGCCTCGATAGCCATAGCTGGAGACGCCCAGGGGTGGGTTAAGGAGCCTGTTCAGTACCTCTCGACTGAAAGGGAGTCAGTCACTGGAATGTTTCCTGTCTCCACCCTGCCTCTGCAGGAGGTTTGAACCATGTTGCCACCAAAACATAGGTTCAGGTTTGTGTGTATGAGCATTGTGCATGCACTCACATATGTACAAAACTGTAGCAGCCAGAGATAAACATGGGGTGTGTTCCCCAGTTTCTCCCACCTTGTTTTTTTTTTTTTTTTTTTTCCCCCCTTCGTTTTGAAGGAAGTGTCTCTTATTGGACCTGGAACTCACAGATTCAGCTAGACTGGCTGGTCAGCAAGCCCCAGGGAATCTTCCTGTCTCTACCCCACCCAGTGCTGGGCCTGTAGCCACAAGCTTGGCTCATTTTCCTGTGGGTACCGAGGATGGAGCTCGGGTCTTTGTTGCTTGCACACCAACCACTTTGCTAACTGAGCTATCGCCGCAGCCCTGTTTGTTTGTAAACATTATACTACAACGCAGCCCAGGTTGACCTTCATCTGGTAGCAATCCTCACTGCTGCAATGTCAGCCCAAAGTCACCAGTGAGCTTGGATGGAATATGGATTTTTACAGTGTAATTAGGATCTCAGGATGAAAGTCAGCCTACACGATATGCATAGACCCTAAACCTAATGCCAAGTGTCTTATAGACAAGAGAGTGTGGTTGTAAGGTGCACACCTGTAATTCTAAAGCATTTGGAAGGCTGAGGCAACTTACCTAGAGATAGACTACTTTACCTAGACTCCATAATGGAGAGACTAGGAGGTGTGGCTCAGGGGTAGAGCCCCTGCCTAGAATCCCCCAGTGAGGGGCTAGGGGGCGTGGCTCAGTGGTAGAGCCCCTGCCTAGAATCCCCCAGTGAGGGGCTGGGGGCGTGGCTCAGTGGCTTGTATAGCACTTACCTAGCACATACAATGTCCTGTGTTCTATCCATCTCTATGCCTGGGACTTGAACTATAGAGCCAGTGTTTTTAAAATAATGTTCTTGCCTGTATGTATGTGTTGTACTTGGATGAGTGTGTGCAGGTGTGCATGAATGTGTGTGTGTGTGACCATGTGTGACTACTTGACTTGACTTCGTGTACTGCATGTCCCTGTCGCTCTCGGCTTCATTCCGGCAGGGTTTCTCACTGAACCGGGAGTCAATTCCAAGTAGTCTAGCTAGTAAGCATGCCCCTGGAATACTGTCTCTGCCTCCTGGTCACGTGGTGGGCTACCACCACGCCCACCCAACATTTACGTGCGTGCTGAGGATCGAAATTCCAGTCTCCATGCTTGCACACAGGGCAAGCACCTTATCCAAGAAGCCATCTAAAATGCAGTCCCAAGCCCTACACCTTTACCCCTTTACCCATCATTCCACAGTCCTGGGAGCCTACAGTCAGGAAATACATTTTTCAGAGGAAAAACCAACTGAGGCACAGGGAGGAAGGTGACCTCTCCACGGTCACAGTCACAGAAGCAGGATTTAAAACTCGTGCCTCCAATTCACCCTCTACGACTGTTTTCGGTTTCCCAAGTAGTTCAAACCCACGGGGGCCACAGAGTCATCACACCCACTCTCCGTTGGAGGAACTGTGGCTCCCCGATGTGATACCCCCACCACACACACACACACACACCACTGAAAATATTTCTAATAGAAATATTTTTTGTAACTGGTTGGTGGTGGCGCACACCTTTCATCCCAGCACTGGAGAGGCAGAGGCAGGGGGCAGAGTCTTTGCTTATTTGCTGTGAGTTTGAAGCCAGCCTGGTCTCTAAAGAGCAAGTTCCAGGACAGCCAGGGCCTCACCCCCCAACTCTCCACTCTTAAGCTGAGCTCCGTGAAGACCACCCACAGGTAAACAAGACCTCGGCGGCTTACATCTATCTGATTGATATTCACGAAAGCCAGGCATGGCGATGCACTTTTACCCTGCAATCCCAGTCCTTGGAATGTGAAGGCAGGGAAAACCCGGCGCTCAAGATCACCCTTGACTGACTAATAGGAAGTTCAACAATCTGCCTCAAAATCTCCAGCCAAATACTCCCTGAATGAGTAACTCACAGGTCATTCCGGCTACTCTGCGTCCCTCTGGACTCGCTGCGCCGACCCCCACTTGCGCGGACCACCACCGCTTCCTCAACAGTGGCCTGAGATATCCCAGCTGTAGCCTCCCCCCAGGGCCCTGCCTCCAGAAAGTCCCTCACGGGGACTTCTCTTCCAAGAGGGCAGAGAGGGAGCATAATCAAAGGATACACCCAGTCTAGCCTTAGCCGGCTGGAGGGCAGCTCAGAGCGGGTGTCCAGGCTATAGGTGGGTGCCAGCTCGTCCGGGATCAGCATGGGCACAGGGCGTCCTCTCAGAAACATCTTCACAGACCCCTCCTCTGCGGAGACACCCTCAGAGGTCAGGTTCCATATCAGCCCCTGGGTCCGTTCCCATTCCTCTGACTAGTAAGTGCTGTTACTAAGATCATTAGTATTTGAGACAGGGTCTCTGCAGCTCAGGCTGGCCTGGAATTCTCTGTGTAGTCCAGGCTGGCCTGGAACTCAAGGTGATCCTTCTGCTTCCGACTCCCAAGTGCTGGGATGACAAGTGTGAGCCGCCACACCCAGCTCGTTATATACAGACAGGATCTCTTTAGGTAGCCCAGGCTAGCCTTCCTCCAACTTCCAAGATGCCTTCAGTCTCCCAAATGCTGGGTTACTGGCTTAGACAACACCTCCCTCTCTCCCTCTGACCCATCTTCCAACCCCGTTCTTCCTCTCTCTCTCTCTCTCTTCTTAAGTGGTAGATAAAAATGAAGCCAGATAGGCCAAGGCCCAGTAGCCTGAACCCCAGGTCTTCTGCAGGCTACATTCAGTGAAATCGCGCCCACCCTCCACACTCACCCATGCTGAAGATAACTTCTTTGGTTTTCCTGTCAGGAAAAGATGCAAGGGAAGAAAAAAAGGGGGGAGGAGGATGAGTGCTTTAGCA